CCCCAAAACCCCAAAACCCCAAAACCCCAAAACCCCAAAACCCCAAAACCCCAGATGAATAATTATCAGTTGAAAGAGAGGAATTAATTATCATCTTCAGTTGGACCTTCCTTTAGTTTCCTTCTTTTGTTATTCCCGTCACCTCTGCTCTTGAGGGTCTCTTGCTGGTATGAAGCCTTATTTCTAAGGTCCTTTAAGTTATTGATGTCATCTGTGTTCTTTGCCCATTGGATTACTAGTTTACGACCATAGAGATGGGAATGTTGAAGGGTTTCAAAAGCATTTCTAGCATCTTCAATTGTAACAAATTCTACAAATCCAAAACCTCTATGTTCATGGCTGTTGGCCTTCTTAGGAAGTCTGACTTTCTTGACCTGGCCAGCTTCCTTGAAAAGCGCTTTGATGTCCTTTTTATTAGCTTCGAAGGCAAGGTTTTTGACTAAAAGTTTGGTCGAAGCAAGGTCGGCATTGTCCACATAGGATTCGTCTTCCTTCCTTTTCATTTTCTCAAGCCTTTTCTTTTTCTCAGCTTCACTGGTATCCCTCTTTGCAAGCTTGAGCTTCAACATGTGATCATCAAGGACACAGCTCTGCAGCTTTTTCATGGCTGTTTTGGCACCTTCTTCAGTTTCGAATTCAACAAAGCCATATCCTTGAGATTGGAGACCGTCTGCCTTGTTCTTGACAATTTTGGTTGAGAGGATCTTGCCTGATTTGACACTCTCGAAGAGTTCCCTTAATTTCTGTTCTGAAGTCTCGAAGTTAAGACCTTTAACAAAGACTGTATTAGGAATTTTAGAGGAGGTATCTTCTGTCATTTGAGCATCTTCACCAGAATTTACTCGGATTGAAGTCTTTTCAAAGACTTGGGGAGCGTACTCTAGGTACAGAGGGATGTTGTGAAGACGGTAGTAGGTTAGCTTCTTCATGACTGCTTCTGCTTGGGAAGCGGATTTGTACTTGGCGATGGCGAGGGTGTTGGTGGGGGAGATTATTAGGTCTTGGGTTTGGGCGTAGGTGGATAGTTCATCATAAGTTACTTTAGAAGAGATATTCTTGATCAAGATCATAGTCTTGCTTCTAGTTAGCTCTTTTCTGTTGTTCTTTCCCTCAATAGCTTTGAGGTTGATTCCGTTCTCCATCATCCACTCTTTTGTCTCTTTGATTATCTGAGTCTCGATATTAGCGACCCTGACAGCCATATTTTCCTCGTCTTTATTGAGGATATCTCCCTTTTTGAGGCTTAGTTTATTGGCAATAGCTTCTGTGACTGCATCTTGGCTCAAGAATAGATAGTTCCAGTTAGTCTCATCATCAAAGTTCCTCTTGGTGTGAATCTTCTTTTTAGTCTTGAATGATGATTTCTCATCAATGAAATGCTCCTTTCTCTCCTCTTGTGGCATTTCTTTATTTTCTTCGTAATTCTGGGTGTTTTCAGGATGGTCCATTCCTTGCTCAAATCTTTGCTCCTGCTCTGGCTTTTCCTTCTTCTTTGAAGCAGGTAAGATTGTTAATTTCCTACCCTGGTAATACTTTTTATCAAGATTCGCATATGCATTCACTGCTGATTCTGGCTCCATGAAACGTATGAAGCAGAAGCCAGTTCCTAGTCCACCTTTTCTTTTAGGGATTGAGATCTCATCGATTTCTCCATACTTGCCAAAAGTTTCTCTTAAGTCTTCTTCCAAGATTGTGAATGGAAGGTTCATGCAGTATAGTCTATTTTCATCGATTTCTTCATCATCTTCCTCTTCAATCTTAGTCTCAGCAGGTTTTTCCTCAATTTCCTCAGCAATCTCTTCTATTTTCTGAGCTGCTTGGGAGATATCAGCTTCCTCGCCAAACTTAATGTGGACTTGCTTAGACTTGCTCGCTCCTAACTTGGTAGACTTTTTATGAATTTCCTTCTCTATCACAGTGATTCCTTTGCCTTTTTGGGTGACTTCTTGATTCTCGATCCTCAGGCCAGGCTCTTGTTCCTCTTCTTGCTCTTGCTTTTCAAATTCCTTCTGCTCTTTTCTGAGTTTTTCTTCTTTCTTACGTTGTCTTCTGCTTTTGGTCTGGTCTGTGGGTACGAAATCGTTGAATGATTCATTCCAAGACTGGTTCTTTACCTTTTTGCCTTTCTGCATCATGACTGCTAGGAACTCTTTGAACTTCTTTTTCTTGTTTTCTACTTCTCTCTTATTCTCAGAATCGATCTGGGATTGAGGCTTGCGGCGTTCCCTAGCTTCCTCTCCATGAATTCTGTTATAAGCCATAGTCCCTTTGGTGTATTTTGACCACCCACGAGGAAGGTTTGGGTCTTGTTGTGTCTTGGCATATTCTACAGTGATTTGAGCTATATGGAGTTAGAACTACGACTTGAGAAAGACCTTACAAGTATCAATATATGAGTCATTGAAGTATTCTCTAGCTGCTTTGGCGTCCCTTTCATTTTTAAACCCGACAAATGCAAATTTCCTAGACTTGTTCTCCTTCCTCATGATCTTGCAATCAGTGACAACTCCTTTAGCCCTGAAATGGTCTGCTAATTTCTTTTCAGTGAAGTACTTTGGAACATTAAAAACAATCAATCTGGAAGAAACATCTGGATCTTCTCGCTTTTGCTTCTTCTTATGCTCCTGTTCTGCTAACGTATTATTCTCAATGAGTTCTTTCTTCCTAAACCCGATAAGCCCACGTCCAACCCCAAAGCCTACTTTGCGTCCATTTATATTAAACTTTACAATTAGGAGTGTTTATTCAGGGGTTTTGGGGTTTTGGGGTTTTGGGGTTTTGGGG